TCTGTACCAGACCTTGTAACCCCTCTGCAACCATCAAAAAGAGGAAAGGAGATAGAGGATCACCTTGTCTCAACCCTTTACCCACCTCGAATTCCTTTGTCGGGCTTCCGTTTACCAGAACCGAGATTCTCGCCGTTGAAAGACACTCCTTAATCCAACCTCTCCATTTTGTTCCAAATCCAAAACTCTCCATCATCCAATCCAAAAAGGCCCAATCTACGCAATCATAAGCCTTTTCGAAATCTGCTTTAAACACAAAGGCTGGCTGTTTCTTCTTCTTTATTTCATCCACAACTTCATTCAGCACCAAGACACTATCCACCAGCTGCCGGCCCCGCACAAAAGCAGATTGCGTTTCACTCACTATTTCTGATATTACTGATTTCAATCTATTAGCCAGCACCTTCGCTAATAATTTATAGACACATCCTATCAAGCTAATGGGTCTATAATCCTTTAATTCTACTGCATTCAACTTTTTAGGAATCATGGTTAAAAAAGAAGAGTTTAGACCCCTCACCAATTTACCATTACAGTGGAATTCCGTAAAAAAGTTGATGAAGTCCTCCTTTATGCAGTGCCACGCAAATTTAAGAAAATTAAAGTTGTAACCATCAGGTCCTAGAGCCTTTGACCCTTCACAGCTCCTTAAGCCTTCCTCTATTTCTTCAACCGAAAAGGGTCTTTCCAACCAATCTTTTTTCTCCTCGGATAGCTGCTGGAATTTAATATCCCCAGGCTTTGGTCTATTCCATGCCTCTCCTTGAAATAATCTGCTGAAGTATCTAACGATCTCATTTTTAACTAAAACTGGATCATCAATCCATGCCCCATCACACATTAAACCCGCAATATTGTTTTGTGCTCTTCTTCCTTTTGCAACTCTATGAAAAAAGCGGGTATTTGCGTCTCCCTCATGCACCCATTTACTTCTTGACTTCTGCTTCCAGATAATTTCCCTCTTTCTCAAAACATCCCACATCTCAGCAAAACCCTCTTGCCTTTTCACAATCTCAACAATTTCCAGGTCTGATATTTCGTTCTGCATATCCACTTGCTCAATCTTTTCTACAGCTTGTTCATATTGAGCTTCCATGTTCCCAAAAACATCCTTGTTCCAGCCTTTTAAAAAACCTTTTAACAATCTCAACTTTTGCTGGCATTTATACCCTGCAAAACCCTCCACCATCATCTCACTCCATTTATCTTCTACAAACTTCTTAAAATCTGGATGTTGTTGCCATGCGTCCAAAACCCGAAAGGGTCTTGGTCCCCAATCTGTTGTTCTGGATTTCAACACGATAGCACAATGATCAGAGATACTCCTTGGCAATCCTTGTTGTATCCACTCTTCTTCCCCATTACTCATCTCCGTACTCAATAGGAATCTGTCCAATCTACTCTTTGCTGTGCCGTCTGGCTTGTACCATGTATACCTTCTATTCGACAACTTAACATCCACTAAATCCGTTGTCACAATAAACTCATCAAAATCCTTCATATCTGGGCTCTCCCCTGATCTTCCTCGTCTCTCCTCAGGACCTCTTACTGCATTAAAGTCTCCTATTATCTTCTTACTTTTTCTAACAGTTTTGACTTAAATTAATTGTCAATCGATTTCATGAATTGGAACTCCATTGGTTTCTTGTTGCTAAAGTTGTTGTTTAATTCGCTTATGATTCCCAACAAAAGAAAAAAAAGTTGGCTTATGGTCTGAATCACCAATTCCAAGAGTCAA